TATAAAACACTAACAACTCTGTAGAGAAAATATGAGACAGGTCCGTTCAGAGCCTCTAGTACTACCTTCAGAAAGGGAGATGTACACCCTAAATGTTGGAGGAGCAGTGTCGAATAGCAAAAAAAAAAAAAAAAAGCTGTACCAAAGACAGTTTGGAAAGAGGGGAAATGCATGTTTCTGGCATCATAAGCTTGAGACTATGTGATAAGTTGCTACAAACTTTACCTTTTTCCCAGAGGGGTTGTGGCACACCCAGACTTCTCTGTTAGATGGAGAAATGTTTAAATAGAAGGCTTAGAGAAAGCTTAATTATGATTTTTGACATATTTGATCTCTTAACTGCTTAAGAATTATTGTGATCCATAAAAAGTAGGTCTAGCAGTTGTTCTCAACAAGGGTAGAAGGAAAAACATATCATCTGCATAATTAATAAACATTTGTGTTAGTTATAACAGCACTGAAAAATCGGAAGAAAAGCATACAAAAGTTGCTGTAGAATGAGAGCTTTTGAAATTAATTTTCCTTAAGCTTTGTTATACTTAGTAAAAGCTAAATTATGCATGTTTGTCAGAAATATTCTGTATACCAGAATAATCTGTTAAAACATGCACACACAAATTGTGGCCATGTGTATTTTCTACTGCCTGCTTTATGATGTATTTAAATAACAAATAAAGGAAACTAGTTTTCTATGTGGCATCAAAGCCGCATAGATATGTAGCCACTAAATATGCTCCCTAGTTTTAGGGGTCAGAATCCAAGCCAGCCTCCATCAGCATTGATCACCCACCCATTGATTCAAGCTGAAAGGAGGCTTTGGCTACAGTCGCTTACTCAGTGGAGATGACTTTGTCTGCAGGATGCCTTTTTTGTAGGAGAAATGTAGACATACAGAGATTATTTAAAAAAATTTTTTGTTTTAGTCAAAGAGAGAGTCTTTTAAAAACAAAACTAATAAAAAGTCAGAGACAAGAATAATATATAAACAGTGAGAAAGATCATGTGCCACAGGCTGTGGCCATAAGAAGTGATGAATCAACCTTGAATAGTTATTACTCTCCTTAACTAAAAAAAACATTATGAATATATGTTATTTAAGTATAATTACAGTAGGCCACTGGTGACATTACCCAGCAGTGTTCAGTCAAAACAGGTAAATAGGGTCAGTCTTTTGCACCTGTACTGCTGTAGGACTTAAAATCAGTCTGGTGTTGTACATGATTCAGTGAGCTTCGCTTTAAAAGAAGGAGGAAAAAAAGCTAAAAAAAAAGCAAACCTAATTTGACTGAAGCCAGGAAAGATGTTTGACATTTCTTAGCATTTATTCATTTCAGAAAATCAGCCAGCTGGAAAAATTGCATTTTATGATACTCGATAAAGGAAAATCTGAGTTATAGAATTATCATGTCAGAATTTCCTGTAGGATAAACAAAAATGAAACACAAGTTCATAAATGATTTGGTTACAAATCAGGAGATGTAAAACTACCTGGCAACCGCTGCACTGTAGGAGGTGATAGGACTAGTGGTGCTTGTGTTATTTTCAGTGAAAACAAATTCTCTTCGTGTAGACAATGCGACCAGGTTGTCTTGGGCTGGGAGAGGTTGCCAGGCAAGTCTTTCACTGTCATTCGTTATCATTTTCATGCTGTCCTCCAGAAAGAAAGAAACCTGGCTTCTAAAGGAGCCTTTCCAAAGCGAGACGCCAGGGCTGACTTTATTGCGTTCTCAGTGCTTTGTCAGAATTGCAGTTCCCTGAGATTCGGAGCTCCTGCATACCTGTGGAAGCAGATGAAAGAATAGGAATAAAAATAAGATACTGAATTACTTCTGCTGGTACATGCCTGAAAAAAAATCATCAAAGATTATTATAATTATGACTGTTATTAGATATCTGTCTGATTTCTGCATATTTAAATTCTTTCTGAGAGAGGTGAAACTCAGGCACTTACAGATCCCCGGGGAATAATTGCAGCTATGATGACTTATATTCTACTTCTTGAACAAATTTCAATACCAAAGCTGCGTTCTTCGTGCTTGTATTTCTTCTTAATTATACTTGGATGCAGGATAGATAGTCATTTTCTGTCTTACGAATGTGTGTAGCCAATTAGTGTTGTAGATCGTGAATACCCAGTAGCCTAACTCGTTAAATAGAACTTTTCTTTTCTGTCCTTATGGTAAGAGAGTCTGCAAATATCTGAATATTGTCTTTCTCTGTGAGGTCAGCCTTGGCCAAGGTTACAAATCCAGTAACTCGAGCAAATCAACAACACCGGTTTACCTGCGCTCATCATAGTAAGCTGTCGTTTTCTTGTGAGCTCGTGTGAGTATGTGTGTGTGTGTGTGTGTGTGTGTGTGTGTGTGTGTTGTAAAGGGGATTAGGCCGTTCTGCTCCTTTGTGCTTCTTGTATTTGATCTTAGTGGCATGAGCTTGCTGCTGTGTGATGAATTCATTCCTCCTGTTTTCCACCTCTTCCCAAGAAATTTTGAGCAAAAAAGTTGTCTGTGGAGCGTGGTGGGACATAGAAACCCATCTATGCTCCTTGTGCTCATGGAAGCAGAGATCAGAAAAACTGGCAATGTGCATGTGAAGAGACCACGGTGCATATCAAGTGGTCAAACACAGGTGTTCTTTTCTTCTTCCCTTTGATTTTTTTTTTTTTGCGTTACATCTTGCCACTGTTATGTGAAAGTATGAAGATAACACATGTAGCTTGGAGTATCTCGCAGGCGGGGTTCATGGAGAGGATGGAGGCAGAAGGCACAATGTTATGACCAGAGAGAACCAGGGAAGCACAAGACAACGGTGGATGAGTTACAGACCTAGTATTGCTTTCCACTGGTTTTACTAAGTTATAGTATCCATAAATAATGTGAGACATGGCTGGTTGGTTGGCTTTGGTGATTTTCAGTGCTAGACTGAAATGCGTTTCCCCAAGGGTGAGTATTGCTGAACTAACATTTCCTCCTCCTCTTTTTCACAATATTGGGTGACATCTCAGACTTCCTATTAGAGCACTACAATGCCATACTGAGTTGTGATTTTAAAAGCTATAGCCTGAAATATCACAGAAAAAAACAAAACCTCTCCATTCAGAGAAAATGTTCCCTGTAATCTTATTACTGACATAGTTATTTCCAGTACCCTTTTGGCATGCATTTGCAAAACTCCTGTGGGGATTTGAGCTGAATAACTATTTCTTGAAAGAAAAAGTTACCTTAGCATTTAGGAGAATGGTAAATGGTTACACTGGATTTAGATTACTAAGACTTGAATGTACTGTATGTACTGTTATTCGTAATTACAGGCTTCCTAGTGAAAATTTGATAGATACTTCAAATATTTTATAAACAGCTCTTAAACGCCTCTTAGAAGTGTGCATATATACATATATATCTTTACTACTATTAGAATTCTGTCACTGGGTCTGTGACTCAGGGCTTGTGCCCCTTCTGCTGTGTACCCCACAGCTGTGGTGCCGGGGAATAACTGCAGTTTGGGCGAGGACCTGGGTGCTCCCCATCTGCCCCATTCTCCAGGATTTACTTTGGGAAGATCCCAGGTGTGAGGATAGGGAGGGGTATTCCACATGACATCACTGTCCTAATTTCTACCCATTTTTCCTTTTGTCATTGATTGATAGAGAAAATTTTGAGAATCTTATATGTTGCTTTAACTGCTTGCTCCTTGAAGAATCGAGACATCATTATCTAATCTGCATCTTCTTGCTAATTCACAATGAGCTTATGATAGAGGCCTCAAATCTTCTGCATAGCAGCCACCACTAGGATGTGGAGGAAGTCCTTCCAAGAGGGCTCTTAAATGCAATTTTTGCTCACGGATATTGAAAGTTTGGAGTAAATTATGAAAACATGTTGTTGATTCTTGAAATAGTGACAGTAATAAAAGCAGTGAGTTAATTTAGCTTGCTAGAGGGTTGTAATGTGAAGAATACATTTGTCAAATAGCTTGGAAAAAATCCAGGATATGTTTAGATGAAACAGCTGGAGATGGGTTCAGACTGAAACTGTGAGCTAAATAGCCCTTCAAGCTTTGTGGAAATCCAGAGCTGAACTTCATTGTACAACTCTGTAATGGATGAAATAAAAGATGTTGTGCAGGTGATTTTGAGCTTTGCAGAAAGTCAGATCCTGATTTATACCTACACAGCAACTAACTGGAACTGGTTTTCCATGTGGTCTTTCACTGGACAGAATTGTAAGATACAACTGATGCGTTCTTTGAACTGTATTACTGTATGTAGAAGTTGGGACATATAAATAATATACTGTAGCTTAATATTCCTGTGTCTGTGAGTTGTTAAAAAGTTACTTCCTCACTAAGTCTTTTTAATATACAATGGAAATTTCTGTGTTGATTGTGCTGTCGTGGATATTAATGTGATGTCGTGAGTACAGCTTACTGATAGCACTACGACGAGATAAAAAGATGCCCTATCATAGTAAATAGTAATTGTGTCTTTAGGGAAAAAAAAAAACTCGGATGGATTAGCTTGATGGTAGCTAGGAGTTCTGCAGTGTTACAGTTACCTATTTCTCTCAGGTGCTTCTTCTTGTTTTATTTGTCATGCGGTGGTTTGGGTTTTTTTTAATCTATCCTGTGATTTGTTGCAGAATTTTATGCTGAAGGGAGTTTTCTGAGTAGTTAGGTGAAGCAGTGATGGACCCCATCCACATCTAAAGTTTTTATTTCTGTTACTGTGTTAATAAATAAAAATCAGTTTACAGGTCTGAACTGGATTTCCCTGTTAAGCCATTACAGTGTTGCAGTTCTAGCCTTTAGTTCTGACTTCTAACCCTGTCAATTTTAGACTATTTGAATTAGGGCTTTCTCCACCCCACTTCTGTGGTGACACTGAATTTCCTAAGAGAAATTGATTATTTCTGCTAAGCGTATTGGTTTATGGTTGTAATTCTCTTCAGAATATAATTTGTGGGTTTTATTTTCTCAGTCTTCTTTCGTCTTTTATTTTGCAGGTTGGTGAGAGGCAGAGGGTTCTGGTAACAGAAGAATCCTTTGATTCCAATTACTATGTCGCTCACAATCGATTCTATGAGCAGGTACTGTTAAATAAACAAAATAACTTATTTTTGCTTTATCGTTGCTTTCTGATGATTTCAGCAACACAGTGTGCCACAGTGCAAAGACAAGTAAAGAAAAGAGACACCCTTTCCAGGATAGGTGTGAACATCTGGACTTACTTGTGAGAAATTTTGCATCTTTTTGTGATGTAACTTTCAAAACATGAAGTTTTAAATATAATTTACCTGAAATTATGTTAAAAAGATATGCAGTAACTCTTCGGGTGTACGGCATGTGGAGGATACATATGGTTCTTAGTTCAAATGCAAAACCTCACAGGTAAGAACAGTATTCAAATGGTTTTAAAAGCTGCTCATTACTGCAGAAATTTAATTTGTGAAGTCTCAGAAGCATTATTTTCTTAATAATTTAATCTTGATAATTTCCATACATCTTTCAGAAAATGCTTTCAGGCAATGCATTTTGCCAAAAATTTAATTTCAAACAATGGGAAAGGTCAGAAGAGATCTTAGTGGAAAAGAAAGGCTTCTCTTGTATAGATTAACACTTCAGTCCAATATGTTGTATTTCCTCCTAGCTACTTTCTATAAATGATTCTTTTTGCACATAAACGTAATCTTTATGATCTTGGATGGAAGTGCAGGATCGATTTCACAAAATCATTATTTTTACTCACAAGCAGATGATTTGCTGAAAGCCAATAAAAGTGGCTTTTCTGAATCATCTGTATTTCATTCTGGTTTTGCAATTGGCTTGTCCTTTGTTTTCTTGCCCTGAACTGCCTACAGTTGCTACCTTTAGTTATTCAGTTGTCGTATCATGATAGGCTGTTGATGATGACTCTTCTTGTATAGTCAAACAATAGGGCTTTAGTTTGCTTCCATATTACGTTAAAACATTTATTTCATTTTTTTGCTATATTTTTCATTTCATTTTTGTTTTAAGTAATATTACTGCTTTTAAAATATCGTTTCCATTGGCTATCTGGTTCACTAATTACTTTTTTCCCTCGGTTTCATTTACCATGGATAAATCTTGTTACATTTCTTCTCTTGCATCTCTAACCTTTGCTTAAGGTTTTTATGTCACTATTTCTTGCTTTTGTAGTTTATGAGTCAGATTGGAAGAATGTGGCTCACCATATAGAGATTAAAAAGAATTTGCTTGGGGCTTTTTAGTGTTTAATGCTTGTTTCATGAAATTTTCATTAATTTGACAAAAGGCAGTATGTGAAAAAGTATTGATATTTTAGAGTATATTTGTACAGTACCTAATACAACTCCTGACTGGGACTGGTAAAGACCACACTAAATACAAGTAATAACTTCGGTAGGAATTTAAAATTCTATGATGGAAGAAATACTTTCCATTATCAAGATGCTTATCTTTTCCCTAAAATCCTGTAGGTGACATGTTTGGCAAGGGTAATATCCTACTGCTCATCCAGGTAAGGACTAGACTGGGTGCTAAGTGACTGACTTTAATATTAGTAAATGTAATGACAGTAGATTTAAAACCACTCTTGAGTGACTAAATATTGTATTATACTTTAGAAACTGAAGTTCGGAGTCCTGATGTCATGTTCTGTTAACTCAGTATTCTCTCTTCACTGAAGCTTTTCTGTATTTAAAGGGCTTGCCAGTAAGGCCACACCAGTAGAGCTGCAAACTAGATCATTGAACAGAGTAGTCTACAATGACCAAAGGATATTTTGCCAGATCAACAACTGAGATTGGAGGTTTTGTTGACATAACTTGTTTCTTAGTAGTATGGCACTTTTCTTTTCTTTTCTTTTCTTTTTTTTTTTGTTCCTAACAAATGTTTATATCACAGAAATGTTCTAATGTAGGCTGAGCCTGGCTGCTTGGTTGTTTACAGTACCTCCCAGATATTTTCACTTAATTTCTATCTTCTTCTGAAGTAGTAATCATTTACCCACATCATTTGTCCCTGAGGATTTATATTTAGTACTGTTACTGGCATTTCAAATATGGGGATACCAAGATTTACAGAGATCACAGGCCCGGTGATGGTTAATTACCTAATTTCCCTAAATTAACTTTGCCCAAAGTGATCTATGTGGAAAGAACTGTGATCTAGCTGCATTGTAATCCTTACATAGCCTTAGGAGCATGGCTTTTTGTTTGCCACGTAGTTCCAATTGGCCTCAGCTTTCTCATCTGTAAAAGCCAGATACGTCTCCTCGTATTAAAAGGTTGTTAGGAAGCTCAGCAGAAGCCTAGAATCTAGAAACTACTACAGTCGTGAATGCTTTGAGACTTCAAGGAAAAAGGAAACTGCTGTTGAAGTTGTTCATAATGACTTCCTCCAAGTGGGACACCTAAGACTTGCTATAGGTGAAACTGAAGAGCCAGTGGTTGGCAAAAAGCTGCTCTCCAAATGTGGTTGGCAGAGTTTTCCTGTTTTAAGGTGTCTTGAAGTTAGCATCCAAAAATCAAGGTATACATACTTGCTCATCACCTTTGAAAAGCTTGCATTTATGTGTTGATGAACCTCAAATGAATGGAATTAAACAAGTCCATATGGTCCAATTTTTCTGTTGATGTTTAATCTGGAAAAAATCAGCTTCTTTTTTTTTCTTTTTTTTTGTTTACCTCTTCTCTATTTTAGAGCCTTTCTATGCCATTCATTCTCCCACCAAGAAATGGTGCTCCTGTGTGTTCGACTCTTTCTTTTGTAACATGCATGACCTGGGAAAATCTGTTATGTGGTCTGTGTCTTGTGAAGAACTTGACCTGATGTCAGAGACCTGATGTCTGATGTCAGAGCTGTGAATTCAGGAAAGGGTGGCATTAGTAGCTGACCAGAGGAACATACTTACTGATTTTTAGGGACATTCATTGCAAATCCTGCATCTCAGCTGTAAAGGACCTGCACAATCAAATAAGGGCTTGTGCAAGCAGAAGGAAGGCCGTAATTTGTGTCATGAAGTATTTCCAGACAGAAAAATACACAAGAAAAAAACTATTGTGGAATAGACATGAAAGGAGAAAGCTTTAAAGCAGTCTATTAGAATTCTGTAGTACAGTTACCCTTGGGAGCTATTTGGGTCTGCATTCAAATTAGGCCCAACTTGCTCATTAATCAGAACCATCAATCGTGCCTCTGATTGGAGCTGAAAAGCACTGAGCTAACAGTACGAAGCTCTGGAGGAATGCAATTGAGAGATGCTCCCAGTCAGATGTATCAGGGGTTATAGTGCGTGCTGGTGACTAAAATTTTAAATTTTTAGGTTTTGCTCTGATATTTATCAGAGATCTGTTCTCTGAGTGGAAGCTGGAGACACTGACATCTTTTATGATATTCACTAACTGTATCTTTATCTTTATTTGAAAGGTTCTCGTGCCAAAGGATCCTCTGTTAATGGGTAAGATGGTAGAAGTGAATATTTATGAAGCTGGTAAACATTTTATGAAGGGGCAACCAGTGTCAGATGCCAGAGTTTACACTGCATCCATCACCAGACCATTAGCAAAAGGAGAAGTTTCTGGTTTAACAGAGGTGAGTAAAAGACATTTTCTGCTTTACTACACCAGTAAAACAGCAGCTGTTCAAGCATAATGATTCCAGGCTATGTATCTGTTATCATTTTATAGTTCTCCTTTTATGTATGCATGAAGCTTTAATCTTTTGTGACAGATTGAAATCTGAATTTAAAAGATTTTTTTTTGCTGATGCCCATAGCTTTACTTTGCTGACTGTAAAGGCAATAATAAGCTTATTTCTTGTTCCAGGGTGTGAGATCCGGAAAGAATTTATTAGAAGGGAAAAGGTTTAACACCAGAGATTATATAATTCAATGTATTTCAGCCCTAGTTTAGTGTAAGGATGAATCTATTTATTTTCTTTTACAAAGCTGTTTTAAAAAATATTCATTGATTGCATGTCTGTTAAAACAGTTCAAAACTGGGTCCAGAGGTTCAAAATTCATTGATGGGTAGATGTATTGAATATTTTCAGTATATTTTGGTAGACGGTCAACATCTGATTTACTCGTGTAAAGAAAAAGAAACTCCTTTTAAAAGATATCTGATCCTTATTTTACACCTCAGTAGATATGGCTGTAAGCCAGGTATTCTCATACATTTCGTGGAACTCTAGTTGTAAAAACTGATAGTGTGTGAAATGAAAATGTGTATCACATTTCTAAGCATCATTTGATGTCCTTTCTCCAGCGCTGTTCTTAGGAGCTCTAAAAACATGTAGCAAAAATTTAGCACATGGAAGAAAGATAACTGACGGTTTATAAGTCACCTTGCTGTTTTTACAGTAAATTGTTGACAAGTATTAGAAAAATTATCTTTGTTAAAGTTATAGGTGGTCATATTGAAAAGAAATAATTAGTGTATAACTTATGAGACTAGCGTTAAAGTTAAGCTATTTGGTATCTCAAATAAGACTGGCTGTGGAAACACAGAGCAACAGTAATGCACCTACAATAATGTGTTTGGCAGATCATGAAACTTAAGCGACAACACATTGCCAAACTCTGCTTTGAATACTGTCTATGTGTATGTTTGCCTGATAAGGGACTGTAAGAGGAAAAAACAGCCAAAACCCTCAAATTGTCTGATTGGACTTTGTAGCTATTTAAACACAGCTGCTTTTTTCATCGGAGCGTTTTTTTTAATAATCCACTGGAACAGAACCAAGTCTGTCATTAAACAGAGTATGTGCTGCCAGAAGCTTGTAGCATGGGAACAAGCAAGCAGAAAGTTGACTGAAATTGTGTATGTTAAAAATGAGAGATAAAATGAGGACCAAGATGACTGATAATTTCCATAAGAAATTGCAGAGATGCATGTAAGATGAA